AGACTGCTAATGGCCCTCAAGCCCTTACCCCAAACCCTGGGGGGCTTCAGAACTCCCAACTGGTACGATTTTACAAAGGAACTGTGGGGCTGATGGTGTTTGCCCAGTCCCAGGGGAGTCTAAGGAAGCACTCTGTAATCAAACACAATAATATTTTTGCAGCAAAACAACTGAATATTCAAAATAGACAGGATAAATATAGCCTCACATCAGTTCACATCAGGTTTTGCCACTCAATGAGTTTGTGGCAAACTTGCAAAGAACCTATCAGCAGCGTTCTTCGGACTTCACAATCGCAGATATGGGATGATGGACCAGTCTCCCCTCGGGAGGAGGATTGAAATTAGGAAACACAAAGTCATTAAAGATGCTCTGCAAAGGAATAAGTGCTACAATCAATAAGAGGCAATAGCAACATTATTGCTGCTGCTGCTGCTGCTGCCATTGCTCCTCGGCATACTCTTTTCCAAACAGAACTCGGTTTGGCCCCACAGGTGCCTTACCCTTCATGCTGGTAGGATGAGGCAAAGGGGCCAAGAGTTCAGGGCAACTTCTAAACTCCCCAAACTGGCCAAAACCAAGGTCAACGGCGACGAGCCCTCTACATGGTCACCGACTAAAAACAGAGCAACTGGCCACCCGCGAGAGACACCAAGGCAAAGGGCCAGGAGAGCTCTGACAGCTCAGCTATATGGCTCAGGCACCCTACAGCTGGGCCCAGGGAGGGAGCTGGCTGAGACCATTCCTTCTGGTCCCTGAGCAAGAGCCAGGCAAGAGATCCCACTTTGTGTGCAGGACACACACGGTAGCTGGCCTAAGGCAGTGGTCGGCAAACTCCTTAGTCAACAGAGCCAAATATCAACAGTACAATAACTGAAATTTCTTTTGAGAGCCCAATTTTTCAAACTTAATCTTCTTCTAACGCCACTTCTTCAAAATAGACTCGCCCGGTCCGTGGTATTTTGTGGAAGAGCCACACTCAAGGGGCCAAAGAGCCGCATGCGGCTCGAGAGCCTCTGTTTGCCGACCACTTTTTGTCTGGCACTCCTAGGAAGCCAGATCCCACTCCCATCCTGCAGCGTTGAATTCGGAAACATCTTATGACCAGGCCAAATGAGCCTGGGGAGGCGGAGGGCTACAAATGATGACTGTGTTCACACTTAAGTCAACATACATATCACACTTGTATGCAACTCTGAGGATGAGAAGGTGCGTCTGGCCCACAAGCCTACGTGCAGAATTGCTCCAGCCTTTCCAAAAAGAAAGAGAAAGAAGAGACACTGAGCCTCGAGGGAGATTCCAGTCTTCCAGAAGCATATTGTGACCCTCCCAAAATCATCCTCCCTCCCTCAGTCGTATCTTCTATGATGCAGGCCTCCTAGGGAAGGTTTTGGAGCCCAGAGCTTGTTGCCAATCAGGTCTTCTAACTGTCCTGACTTCCTTCTGAAAGGGTATTTAGGTGTGTAACTGTTCTGACTTTTACAGAAAGGGTATCTAGGTATGTACCTGTTCTTTTACAAAAAGGGTATTTATGTATGTAACTTCTGACTTTTACAGAAAGGGTATTTAGGTACGTAACTGTTCTGACTTTTACAGAAAGGGATACTTAGGTACGTAAGCCCCAGGTGATTTATTCAGGTAATGTCTCTGTCTGGCCTTTCCTCCAACCCATGACTATGTCTGACATTGTTTTTACATCTCACCGAGCATTATGGGGACCACTACTTCAGTACGGAGTTTCCTTCCAATTTTCTGTCACGTTAACAGGCTCCTCTCTCACCAGCTTGGGGCCAAGGCATGAGGAATCCTACTGATGGCATTCCATACAAGCTCTCCTTCCCGCACCCTTTCCCAGCAATCTCCCCTTCCTTCCTCTCCATGCCCTTCTGCTCCCCAACAACTGCAAGGCACTTAACCTTTACGACATACTAGCCTATGGGCCTAAAAATAAAATGGGGAGATGGGGTAAGAGATCAACCAAAGGACTTGTATGCACACACATGAACATAACCAATGGATACAAACAGTAGGGGGGTGAGAGCATGTGCTGGGGGGTGAGAGTGGCTGGGGAGAGGTCAACGGGTGAAGGGAGAAAACTTATGTAATACTTTAAACAATAAAGAATTTAAATAAAGTTTTTGTTTTTTTTTTAAGACTGAATAAATAAATAAATAAATAAAATAAAACCTGTCCAACTGGCATGGCTCAGTGGTTGCGCCTCAACCTGTGAACCAGGAGTTCACATTCGATTCCCGGCCAAGGCACACGCCCCAGTTGTGGGGCCCCATCCCCAGCCAATTCGGTGATCATCACTGATGTTTCTATCTCCCTCTCCCTTCCTCTCTGAAAACAGTAAAAACGTATTTAAAATTAAAATAAATCTGCCGCCTGTTATTTCACTACGCTCATCGCTGCTATATTATTGCCAGTTCCAGTCTCCCGGTGTTGTGTTGTTTCTCTGTTTTTGCTGGTAGTTGGGATGTGGGGGAGGAACAGAGGACAGGAGGAAGCTCCATCTAGGAGCTCTGAGGGGGAGAGAGAGGGGGTAAGGCCGTCTGACCAGGAGCTGAAAGGCTGCCAGGCTGAGGAGGGCCGGCTTCGCAGGAGCATGGTGCCCTCCTTGGTCTCTTTAGAGCCTCCTAGCTTCCCACCCCGCACTGCCCCAGCGCCTGGTTCCTGGGTTGCAGCAGCTCACTCTCCACCCTCAGTCAGAGCGCATTCTCCATGTCAGCAGCCCACAGCGTGCCACCGAGGGCCCAGGACCAGCGCCTCAGCACCCCAAGTCCGCGGACAGGGCCGCTCCCCACAATGCCCGCAGCCAGCCCAGCCCCACGGACGGCCGCGCTGTGGACACTAGCGCTGGAGTTCGGGTCCAATGGGGTCAGGCAGACGTGAGACCCAAACAGGACGGGGACAGGGGGTCAGTTCGTCACCCACACAGTTACTGGGTCCTGTCACAGCTCTAGGGACTTCTAGCTATTACTTCATTAATTCAGCACCACACCCTGCCAACCACCTCCGTTTAAAAAAGTAACACAAGGAAAGTATTTTTTAATAAGTAAATAAAAGTGAGATAAGGCGCCGAAACCGGTTTGGCTCAGGGGATAGAGCGTCAGCCTGTGTGTGGACTGAAAAGTCCGGGGTTCGATTCTGGTCAAGGGCATGTACCTTGGTTGCAGGCACATCCCCTGTGGGGGGGGGGGGGTGCAAGAGGCAGCTGATCGATGATTCTCTCTCATTGATGTTTCTAACTTTCTATCCCTCTCTCTTCCTCTCTGTGAAAAATCAATAAAATATATACTAAAAAAAAAGTAACACAAGGCTCATGGAGTATCGCACCGCCAGGCCCCAGCCCCTCCCAGGGGGTGCAGGGTCCCCAGGACGGGAACGTGGGAGTCCTGAGAGGGTGGCGGCTTGGTGGCTTCTCCAGGAGAGAGGCAGCGGGGCCTGCAAAGCCAGCAACTCCTTTCCTTTCCATCGGAGCCCACTTCGCACAGCCCACCACTGAAACAATTCACATCCGGAGAAGACGAGAAGCCTACCGGGTCACGTTTGAGGAGGGGGTTTCCTCTTTAGGAAAGTTTGAGCAAAAACAAGCACTACCTCGGTCTACTTCTGAGCGGCACAAGCATCGAGCCACACCTTAGCGGCGGCTGTTTTTCCGCAGCCACCGGAAAAATCCGCTAACACTGAGCTCGGCGGCCCTTTCCGCAAGGTAAGGAACCCTCAGCGCCACCGCGAGGCACTGTCACTGTCGGAATCCGGCTCCGCTTGGGGTCATCAGACAAACCTCCAGACGCCTCCCCCTCTCCCCGCACCCCCTCAGTCACATCCTCTCCTACACCAATGAGAAATGGAAGAACGGGGTAGACAGAAAGGGGTGCAGAAGTGCGGATCCCCCAAGAACAGACCGAGAGCAGGCAAGAGGGCACACAGGCCAATGTTACCACAATGAGGACAGAAACTGGACTTCTCCATCCCACCTATCAGACCCAGGGCGGGAGGGGAAATGATGGGCATGCCCTTATGACAGATGCAGGCTGACACCAAACCCTACTGGTGAGTAACTCTCAGAGCGCTCTGTGCTAGCGGCACAGTCCGCTTCAGGACGGAATGACTCCAACGTGCCAAGGGCTAAGGAGCTGAATCTGAACCCAGCTCTGCCTCCTACTCTCTCTGTGATCCTGGTGAAAGGTCTCGGTGTCTTCCCATGTGAAAGCAGCACACGGCCTGCACCTCAGAGAGTCGTAACACGTGACTCCACAGCAAGCACTTAGCACCGGACCAGACATGTCCTAGGAGCTCAGTGGATGGTTATTTCACAGAGAAGGGCCAGAAGCCAGAGGAAGCCAATGCTGGCCCCACATCTCTCATACTCATCCCTCCCCCTCGATTAATAATGTAAATCGGCTCCTTCTAAATGTGCTTCTGGAAACAGAGAATGAGAAGGGCTAGAAGAAGCCAGGTTCCTGGTGATGAACGTTCACGAGGAATGACGTTCAGACAGACAGGCAGCTGCTCCAGCGCCTTAAGCGGCATCCGGCCCCTCCCATCCTCCTGAGCTGCAGGTGGCCTGCCTCGGCAGAGACCGCTGATGGGAACCGGGTACCTGAAAACCGGGCGACATGGCCAGATTCAGGCCGTGGGAGACCTTCATCCTCAACCCCCCCTTCCTTCTTCCGCCTTCCCCTTTATCAGTCACTCCAGGCAAAGGAGAACAGGTCCAACAGCAGAACAAGCAGCAAGAGCCAAGAGCCTGGTAAGATCTGGGTCCACACATTCCCCAACACTTAGGAAATACCCTAGGCACCTCACCACACTTGGAAAGCATACCCCAGTCCCAAGACTTAGAAAGACGTGGGTTTTTGTTTTTGTTTTTTTACAAATTGCAGGGAGCACAGGGAGTTGGGCGCCAGGACTTGAGAGCAGCCAGGTCTGAAGGCAGGCTGCCTGGGCCGGAGGTTTGGGCCGGGAGACAGTGGGGCCGGGGAGGGGCCTACCTGTGCTGCTCCACAGCCTCGTTGTCGGGAAGATCCACCCCGCACACGCTGCACGGCTCCCCGAGGGTCCGGCTCTCCGCCTTCATGCCCACGGCCAACTCGCCCAGCTTGCTGAACAGCTCCCTCTGGATGAAGCCCTGCGGCAGCAGGCTCCCGTAGGTGCTGAAGTCCATGGACACGGCCAGGGCGGGCTGCACCTGCACGTGCAGCCCCGAGGACACCGACGACGGCATGCTCAGCACGGAGTCGGCCTTGTGGTTGGGCAGCACGGAGTAGACGCCCAGATGTTTCTCCGCCATGGGCGCCAGGTGTTCCTGTCGGCCGGGAGGGCCCTGGCCGGCCTCCGAGGGGGTGGGCAGCGGCTCGGCACTCTCCTCGCGCCCGTAGTGCAGCTCCCTCGCACTGGTGATGACACTGCTCCGAGTTGGGGTCCCGGGCCCCTCCTTGCCCCTTTCCTCAACCTTGTCCCCCAACCCACCTGAAATGCTGGACTCGGCTGTCCCAGGGCTGTCCTGGCCGGGCACCTCATCCACCTGCATCATCTCCGTCTTCACCTCCGCTACCCCAGGGAGCCGCCCAGCCCCGGCCAGAGCAGGCTCGTCGGGCCCTGCGGGGGGCTGAAGGGTTCCCTGCAGGAGAGACTGTCCAATGGTCATCAAACTGTCCACGGCGGCCTTGGTGGGACTCATGGCGGAGAGACCGAACGAGGTGGACATGGATGGGCTCTGGTCCGCCATGGGCCCGGGGAGGCTCTGCGCAGCCACGCCGGCGTACCCGCTCTCCTCGCTGGAATGCTTCGAGATGAAGATGTTCTTGAGGTAACGGGCCTTGCGGTCCTCCTCTTCCTCCACCCCGCCGTCCACCATGGTGGCCTCCGTGTCATTGTCGTCGGTGGCCTGGATGGTCTCCAGGATCTTCAGGCACTGCTCCTCCAGGTACTCGATTTCCAAGATCTCGGCGGCGTACAGCAGGTCATCCAGGTCCTCCGCCTTGGCCTGCAGCGTGGCCGTGTAGGCGTACTCCAGGATCTGCTGGAAAGTCTTTGGCGAGAGGAAGTCCAGCGTGTAGTGCTGGCTGTTGCGGTGGAAGAGGATCTCAAACATCTTGCTGGTGCAGGCCAGCACAGTCCGGTGGGCGTGGAACTCCTGGCTGTCCACCATGATGACTACGTCGCACAGCGTCCCGGCCAGCCGCATCTGGTTGGCCTTGCACAGGAGCCCCGAGGGGTGGCTGGGGTTCTGCAGCTGGATCATGCCCATCTTCGTCAGATCCATGGCGCTCCCCGCGGCTTAGGCATGAGGCTCTCTTTCCTTCCGGGCTCTGCGTGCGTGGTGGGGCAGGCCGAGTTTCGCGGGCCAGTGGAGAGGACTAGAAGGGAGGAAGGGGGAAGAGGCAAAAGAGATGACAGAACAAAAGGTAGATTAGTCAATGTCCCTAAAAGTAAGCATTCAAACAATACAATCACCCTCATTCAGCTGGCATGAGCATTCTGGAGACTTTAACAGAGGAGAAGGGGTTTCCTAGAAATCTGGGAGTCTGCCTTCACAAGCCCACCAACAGGAACAAAGATAAACTCCTGCCATAACATAGGCCCAATTCGCTGTTTGATGAAGGAAGATGAAATGACAATGGAGTCCTCGAATCTCTGGTCTTAAGTCTAAGAGTGGTGGGTGGGCAGGGGTCCTGTGCCAGGCCAACACTTAGGAGGAGGTGCCAGCACTTACTGAAAATCAGTAAGAACCGAGCCACTTCCTTCAGTCAATGTAAGCCCTCCATTTCACTCTGAACCCCCCCCCCCCATGCAGCAAACTTCACCTTCAAGACCAGCCCTGCTTCCCTGTGGCAGCCCCAGGAGCACAGCCAAGCCCGGCTGGGCTAGCAGCCTGCAGTCTGGCCCACAGAAACCCAAGGGCAAGGCTCGTCTCCAGCCCCATCCTCGCACATGGATGCACACTTACATAAGGTGCCTCGCTAGCCCCCGCCCACGCTGCCCGGTAGACAAGAGGATCTATGACACCTAAGACAGGCCGTGGAGAACCTGAGAGATGATAGGCAATGTGGACCCCTGGAGCCAGGAGTGTAATCTAGGCATATGAACTCCAAGCGTGTCCCACCGGCTCTCTGGAGTGGGTGAGTCCTGTGACCGGGAGCAGCAACTGCTGCTGGGCACGGCTCCCGGTGCTGGAAGGGACACTGGCACCAGCATCTATGGTGCGGATTGCAACCAGTATGAAGGGAAGACAGGGCTGGGAGACAAAGACCTGCTCCACAGCAAAGGCTCTGGGGCTTTGGGGACCGCCCTCTCCCCCCCAAAACCCGTTTAAAGGCTTAAAAGACCTCGTAGAGTTCCCTCCAGCCTCTGCCTTGCTGTGGTCCAGAAATGAACTGGGAGCAAAAGGGAGCAAGGGTTCCCCCCCTAAACCTCTCAACGCCCCCAGCAGGAGCCCTAAGGGTTCCAGAGCCAAAAGCTCCCGCAGAAAGGGCAGGACTGTGTCTCATCCAGAGCGCTGGCTGCCCAGCCTGAGGTGGGAACTGGGGCAATTCATCCTCGCCTATATGGCTTTTCCACAGACTACTCAGGAGTTTCCGAGAGCAATGCAAAGAATGGAAGCTGGGCATCTGAATTCCTTCCTCCAAACAAGCTCCTTGGGTCCCCAGGGAAATCAGGGTGCCCTCCGTCAGCCGGCCGGCCCTCCGGCCGCGGGCGGCTCAGCGCCTGCGGCAGCGCCCGCCCCGGCGGAGCGGAGGAGAGCGGGCGCTCACCCGCCCGAGCTCCGGGGATCCTCCGCGCTCTCACACACCCCGCTCCCAGCCGCCCCCACGGAGGCCGAGAGGCGGCTTCGGCAAACTTGGAGAAGCAACTTTTCCCGGGGATCCAGAGGGCAGAAAGGAAGGGAGCCGGTCTAGGGGAGAGGAAAAGCAAAAGGGACCCAGGCGAAAAGCTAGATGTCCGCGCGGGAGGGCCGGGCTCCGGGGCAGGAGCCGGGAGGAGGTGGACCGCCTCGCCGCGATGGGGACACACAAAAGCCCCACCGAGAGCAGTGGGAGGAAAGGCAAGAAGGGATCGGCCGGCCCTCTCTCACTCGCCGACCCGGGGCCGTGACCCCCGGGCGCGAAGGGCAGGATCCCCGGCCGCGAGCCGGCGCCGCCAGCAGCAGTGAGCCGGCCCCGCGCGGGTCCCGGGGAGCGGGGAGGGGGTCCGCGCGGAGGAGTCGGGGCGCTCCGCTCCCGGGGCCCGCGGGCGGGGAGACCGTGCGCCCTTCCAGCGCCCGCGGGAGGGACCCGGGGCCGCGAGGGCGAGCGGCGGGCGCGCCCGGGGGAGAGGCGCCCGGACGCATCAGGTGCAGAGCCCGGCACCCACCCAGCGCGGCCGGGAGCGCACCGCGGCGCCGGCGTCACGGCCGGTCTCGCCGGGAGCCGGGCAGGGCCCGGAGCCCCGGGCGCTGAAAGCTCCGCCGCGGCCGCCCGCCCTCCTGGAAAAAGAGGGGACCAAGTCTAATCAAGAAAGGAAAAAAAAAAAAAAAAGGATCCACCACGTTTTCCAAAGAGAAACAAAACGCAAGCGAGTCCCAGCCCCGCTCCGCCCCCAGATCCACTCCTCGGATCCTCGGGTGATAGCTTCCCGGCCGGCCGGCGAATACACACGCACATGAGCCACAGCCCTCGCTCGCCCGCGCCCGCGCCCGGGTCCGCATACACAGGAGCACCCACCGCTCCCTCCCGGCACCCCGCCGGCCCCCCGCGGCACCCCAGCCGGCACCCCGCGGCACAAAGCCTCGTGATCCCCAGCCCTCCGCTACCGCCCTCCGTCCCCGAAGACCGCTCGGCCCCCCACCTCTCACCCCGGCCGTGCCCTGGAGGGGAAAGGTTGGGGTGGCAGCTGTGCCCAAGCTGACAGCCTGGGCTCCCCCTTCTACCCGACTCCAACCGGCGGCGGCGGCGGCGGCGGCTGCAGCGGGAAGGGAACTGACCGGATAAAACCAGGCGCAAGCCCGGCGCCGAGTGGCCGGAGCGAACGCGCCCCCCGGACCTCGGCAGCCCGGGGCGGGCGCCGCGGCAGAGGCTCTCCCGGGGCAGCGCGCCCCTCCGCGACCCCCCGACTCACCGCGGCCGCGCCGGGCGCCGGGTGGGCGTGCGCGCCGCCGGGGGTGCGGGCGCCGGGAGCGGGCGGCGGGGAACTGTTGCTCTCGGTGTCACGGCGGCAGCGGCGGCGAAGCCCGGCAGTTCGCAGTGCCCGCTCTCATCGCCCTCAACTCCTCTCTGCCGCGAGGTTAGCAAATCACCACCGGCCCCGGCGCCTCCGCCGCGTCCCACGTCAACGCCGAGCCCCCTCCCCTGCGAGGCCCCGGCGCCTCTCCATCTTTAGTGCTGGCGGCAGGGCCGGGCTCGCTGCCCACAGCTCCCCCCTCCCCCGCCCGCTGTCCCCCGGCTCGGCCCGTCCCCACCCCCCGCACACCTCCCCCGCGCTGGGCGCGCGCTCCCGCCCCTCCCCTCCCCGCCCCTCCCTCCCCTCCGCGCCGGGCGCCGGGCTTCGCCTGACATCTAGCTGCTGCTGGGGCGCCGGCGGCCGCCGTCCCCGGCCGAGCGGGGAGGCGAGGAGCTCCCGGAGGACTGTGCCCAGGGCTCGGAGCCCTCGGCGGGGCAGCAGAGATGAGGTGCGGGGCCAGCCTCCGCCCCTCACCCCCCTGTTTCCAAGCCCCCGGGTTTTTCATCTCCCTCGGACAGGGTCTCGCCCCTGCTGCTCCGGGAAGAGAGCTCCGTCCGGGGCTCCAAGGTTTGCCCCAGTTCCGTGCGTGCCATCTCGCCTTTCACTTTTGCTCCGGGCTCAGGGCTGCACCCCGTAACCCGAGGTCGGTTTGGGAAGGTCGCCCACCCCGCCCGAGCCCGGGCTCTGCGTGCCTGCCTGCCGGCCGCCGGGTGTCCCTGCGCGGTGAGCGGCTACCGAGTTGCGGGACGCCTCCGGGCGCAAGGTTCGCGGGCCCCGGCGAGCCAAGTGCCTGAGGGTCCGCGGGGCCCGTTCCCCGGAGGCAGCCACCAGTCCGAGCTGGGCTGTCGCGACCCCTTAAGGGAAACTTTTATCCTCCTCAGGCTCGCGCGTGCCCTCAGCTGTGCCCCCCAAAGTGACCGGCTTGGAGACGGTTCCCGAGAGCTGCGCCCCGCTCCGCGCCGTCTCCGGGCGGCGGTGCAAGCTCGCCCAGTGCCGGCCCGCAGAGCGCCCCCTGCCGGCGGGCCGCTCCACTTCAGAGCGGAGATCACTCACCTGGGGGTAGAGCCACAGAAGCAATCCGTCCTCCTTGGCCTCGCGGAGCCCCCTCCTGCCCCTTCCCCTGCAGCGTGGCGATGGTAGGGGGCAAAAGAGCGGGAAGCGCGCAGCTGCGTGAAGGCAGAGGTGACCGACTGGCGCTCAGGAGCAGAGGCGGGGGTGGGGGTGATGGCGGGAGTGGGGTGGGGAGGGCCGGCTCTAGGTCTGTGGACAGTCAGCCCCCGAGGTCATGCAGTCGTAGCAAAGCCGGGTTTCCCCGCATTCCGTCCCTGGCACGCGGGCGGGTCAAAGGGCTTCCGCTCTCCTCACGTGTAATCGCCTCCCGATGTGCGCCTCCAGGCACCGCGCCCGGCGGAGAGTTCGGCCCAGGACCTGCGGGGTCAAGGAAGGTGGCAGAAGCCAACCGGAGACGAAACTCCACGTCCGGGGGCGAAAGCCCAGAAGGCAGAGTCTACAAATCAACTGATCTGGGTTCCCAGGATTGCTAATGGGGGAGTCCCAGGACAGGCAGGGCCACCCCAGCCAGCACCGCTCCTGCCCCTCTCCTCTCCAGGCAGGGCTGGGACCTGCAGGGTCCAGGAAGGGGAGAGAGCAGCCAGGGACAGAGAAGCCACTTAGAACCGCAAAGCCTGCCTGGTGCCCAGGAAAGCCCAGGCCCTGGGTGTCCTTTTCATTAAGAATAAAGAGCAACCCAGCCCTGAGCGGTGTGGTTCAGTGGATAGAGCGTCGGTCTGCTGACTCAAGGGCCCAGGTTTGATTCTGCCAAGGGCATGTACCTTGGTTGCGGGCACATCCCCAGTAGGAGGTGTGCAGAAGGCAGCTGGTTGATGTTTCTCATGATGTTTCTAGCTCTCTCTCCCTCTCTGTAAAAAAATAAAAAATAAATTTAAAAAATACATTTTTTAAAAAGAGCAATCCTGTCAAAGACGACTTTTCTAGCCGAAGACTATGCAGTCTGTAAGAGGAAAGAGATTTCAGGAAACTTAAGAAAACTGGTCTGCAAGGAAAGCA